TCTTAACGTCTCGAAGTTTACTGTAGACTGCTGTAGCACGTTCATTTCTAGTCTGGATAAAGCATCTGCCACCTGATTGTCCTGACCTTTGACATGTCGGATATCGCTTGTGAACTGTGATATATAGTCAAGGTGTCGGACTTCTCAAGGTGAGTATTTATCGGCTCTTGCTTTTAATGCATTCGTCAGTGGTTTATGATCCGTAAATACTATAAATTCCCTACCTTCTAACATGTGTCGGAAGTGTTTAATGGTCAGGTAGATTGCAAGAAGTTCCCGCCCGAAGGTAGAATACCTTGTTTCGGCTGGAGCGAGTCTTTTCGAGAAGAAAGCAATTGGTTTCCAGGCGTTTTTAACCAATTGGTTAAGGGTACCGCCTACTGCTTTATCTGAAGCATCCACCATCAAAGCAAGTGGGGAAAGAGAATTCGGATATATCAACGTAGTTGCTTGAGCCAGTTTATCTTTAAGCTGTTTAATAGCTTCGATGGCGTCAGAAGACAGTTTGAATTCTTTTGGTTTTCCTTTAAGTGAATCTGTCAAAGGTTGCATTAATTGTGCACAACCTGATATGAATCTGCGATAAAAGTTAATTAGACCTAGAAAACTTCTCAGTTGTGTTAGAGAACTAGGTACGGGGTATTGTTTGATGGTATCCACTTCTTTTTTGATAGGTTTAATCCCTTCTGGGCTTATTGTGTGACCGAGAAATTCTAAAGTTTGAACACCGAAAACACACTTACTTTGATGTATGCTTATTCCATGTTCATCCAGTCTTTTCAACACTGCTTGTACATGCTGTTCGTGTGATTGCAAATCGGGGCTGGCAATTAACAAGTCGTCTATATACCCCTGCGCAAATGGCATATCTCGAAGTAGGTTATCTATGAATCTTTGAAATGTCTGTGCCGCATTTCTCAGGCCGAATGACATGCGTACAAAGTCGAATAAGCCAAAGGGTGTAGTAATAGCTGTCTTGGGAATATCTTCATCAGCCACCGGGATATCGTGATATGCCCTGACTAAGTCAATTTTAGTGAATATGTTCCTACCCTGTAAACCACTGGTGAAATCTTGGATATGAGGTATTGGGTACCTATCTGGTACGGTTTGACGGTATGGGGCTCTGTAATCCCCGCACGGTCGCCAGTCACCTTCATTCTTCTTTGGGACCATATGCAAAGGGGATGCCCATTGACTATCAGAGGGACGGATAATACCCAACAGTAGCATATAATCAAACTCGGCCCTAGCGATTTCGAGCTTATCTGGTGCTAGTCTCCTGGGTTTTGCAAACACCTTCGGTTTTGATAGTGTGACTCACTTTTAATTTGTCTTTAGAAGGCTGTGGGTTTGGTTTAGTTAAGTTTGGAAATTCCGCGAGTATATCTTGGAATTTCGCTGTTGTTACTGGGGGAGTTTGAATCAAGTTAAGAGAGCTGATGTGACTTTCTTTGCCTTTTGTGTAATACGAAGTTTCTTTTAGTGTTAATCGCCGTTTCTTGGTGTCAACTAGAAATTCGTATCTCTCTAGAAAGTCCATCCCCAGTATTGCCAGATCTAAGTCGGCTACCGTGAAAACCCAAGGGAATTGCCTCCTGAACCCCAAATCTAGGGTTAAAGTTTTCTGCCCAAATGTCGCGATTTTAGTTTTATTTGCAGCTTGAAGTGTAATTGATCATGTTTCTCGACTAATCTAAGTTTTATTCTGAGGGATGATGCTAAGAGCAGCGCCAGTATCCACCAAGAAATTCAAGCCAGAGTTTCTGTCTCTAACATATAACAAGCGACTGTTTAGGCGCCCCTCCTCAGTCGTCGCGACCTGGGGAGGGTTTACTCGTTTCCCGCTGTCTTAGAATTATGCTTAGGCCAGGCGCATGGTTGCATGCACTTGGTTGAGTTGACACCAAACTTCCAGTGGTACCAACAAAACTGCCCAGATTGTCTGGACATTTGTGACCTGTTTTGTGACTTGGATCGTGGTCGTTGTGGTGACCTGCTCCTGTTTCTATGACCCATTTGCATTCTGGTGACAGCCTCAGTGAGACTCTTAACACTCGTAATGAGTCCTTCTATTACGGGGTCTTTTGCTGATTCTACTTTTTGTGTGTGATTTATTGTGCCTGATCCAGTTGGAGGACCTCTTTCCATTATTCTGTCGGATATACGCGCTAAATGAGATAATGAGGTTTCAGGATCCTGTGCATCCAAACAGTGTTGGACGTAGCATGGGAGAGCTTGTATCCATCCTTGTTTTAGGACTGCTTCACCCACTGTGTTATCACCCACTAAGACTTGGAGGTGACGTAAAAACTGTGACGGCGACCGATCACCTAGTGTTTCACCTTGAAAAAGTCTTTGGATTCTTTGACTATCTGATAATGATAAACGGTTCATTATCTCTCGTCTTAAGATGGTGTATGGTTGTGGTGATGGTGGACTTAAAATCAAGTCACGGACTTCTTTGACGACTGAAGGAGGAAGGATAGAACACAAGTCTCTATAGCGAACCCCTTCAGATTCGATATTGTGTCTCGTGAAATAATGCTCTAGTTGAGCAAACCACAACTCAGGATCACTACGATCAAATTCTGGAAGTCGGGATTTCGTAGTCATAACAGTGTCTATCTCCACTGGTGACAAATCCTCCAGATTATGGGTTTCTATTGAGTCTGACATGAGGTATATGACAAATATAGCAATAAAGTTAGCACAAAAAGTGGTTACTATAACACGAATAACTTAAGATAATACGGAATAAACTAGTTATATACTCAACTTAGTTTACGGATAATCAGGTCTACTTTTACGATTAAGTAAAAAAAAATGTTAATAACAGAAATGAGGTTAAATTTGTGTTCAAAAAGGGCTCACCAATTTCGTGTCTTCAAGTAACCCCCGTGCTATTGATAGAAGAAACCAGACAAGTAGTGAATAGGTCTTTATTTCGATCTTAGCGCGGTCACAGTGGAGCGTGGGATTATCTGTTCAGACAAACAAAGGCTCTCAACATTCAATATAAGATAATAGGGAATATAACGCTTATACAAAACAAGGAAGTGAATGACTACTTGAACAATGCTGTTTTGGCATATGCTTGGTTGTTTGGGGTCAACTCTTAACCAACCAACCTAAGCTGTTACAAAGTTAGGACAATTGTGGTTTCTAACAATTTGCAACCGCATGATTTTTCGATGACCCTACTTCTATGTATACCAGTTTACGCATGGTGCATTAAAGTCGACTACCGTAATGCTTTTGCCTCTATTACACCAGAGGAAGCCATCTACTACACATTCTGGACTGCGGTATAGTACATGTGATTCAATATCTCACCGTTTACAATTCAGATTACAACACATCAGTTCACATATCATCAAATCATGTGTCACTGTCTCGACAGCTCATATAGCTAAGGTAAATTTCGTGCACAGGAAAACCTCGCCTCTCCTGGGTTTAATCTGTCAGCCCTACTGGATGAAAAATCAGTATCCACCATTATCTTGAGCTCCACAATTTTGTTTTGTAGGCTGTGAGCATTTGTATAGCACACCTTCATTTCTGTGAGAAGCTGTCCCTTAACACCTAGAGTGGTTTGGGGATCGTTTTAATCCGAACATTTGCCGTGAGAATATACTTGAGCATAATGTTTTGTCACCGTTCAGCAGAAGCGAATGTAAAATTTTGGTGGCATGTTTTCAGTATACTTTCTGAATCCACTTTTTGTCCCATTCTATAGAGCTTACAGACGCTAACTCCTGAAACAGCTCCTGAGAGTAGCTTGCTTATTAAAGACTGGGGGTCGTGGTCAAATCAAAATTTCTGCGGCTGTTCGTAGAATTCTCATAACGTACGAAAAGTAACTGATCTGTCAGCGAGGAGTTTTACTTGCGATATGTGTCGGCCGCAGAGTTATAACTCTTCACTCTTTACTTTTCTTTTTCTGAGCGTAAAGATAAGCCAATCATTTATCACTTCATCGAAACGTGGTTTCGCTTTCCATAACCCCGTAATTCCCAAGTGAAAAAGTCGTGTCCGAACCCTATCTGAGTAACAACTCCGTTTTTTTGACAATTATGTTTTCCAGACGCATTGGATAACCCACAACTCTTTCATAGTCGGCTCGTAAAACGATAGTGTTTTAGTCCAAAATGTCAGTTTATTCATAATTAGTGAAAATGACCGACCACTTTCCTCGTTACTCAGTGCAGCGGTAAATGAATCCCCAAAATAAATAGTTCTGTGAGCCTTTGACACTGATACTGGTCTTACTGGACGCACCTAGCTGAAGGCATTTTTCCACACATCCGCACTATGTCACGAATGCATACGCCGTGCTACGCAGTCTGTGCAACTAATAGCCAGGCAAGACCAAAAGCTTTGCGACATATTGATAACCCACCAAATATGCCCTCGAACTCTTTCATTTCTGACTACATTATTTGTTTGGATTGGCATCCTTCAACTAAAAATGGGTTATGCATAAAGATATTGTCAAACTCCGAATTCCTGTGGTGTCTTCGAACTTATGGCATCACAAACATCACCGGGCACCACTTTAGTTCTTACATAAGTTCAGTTTCAACACAAACTATATACGCAACTCTCCAAAGTCAGAGGCATAACATAGCGTAATAGACTGCAGGCATATTTTTCGCACCTTATGAGTAGTCAAATCCTGGGATTCGCTGTCGGTTAAGGTAGTACGAGTGACTTCTTAGAAGTCCCTTAAGCGAAAACCTGACATATTCTCAAGGAATAAGAATACTGCATTTTACTACAATACTACACTTCGTTGTTAATTATACCTAGGCTCCTACCTTGAGACATCGAAACTCACTAACTACTATATACAGAAGCCCGCTTAGAGGAAGATTCTTTAAGTCAGCACCTATCTTGACTGACAAAGATGACGCAAATATCAATTATTATTCTGCTGATTATTAGTATTCACTGGAGCGTAGGATAATTCCAGCCAACTGATCCATTTGTTTTATCGTAGCTACTGAGAGGGAAGTATGAAATTATTGGCTCTCAAGGACGACTCGTGTAATCCAGCTTCTGGAGGTTACAGTGTAGGTAATCGAAGAGTGGCTAGTAGGGTGCGGTTCTGACCTTTACAAGAACCGTCAGCTGGTCGGATTCAGCTTTATTGCGTTATAGTACATCTTCCGTTTGGCATAATCTTCGTTGAATCTATCTTAACTTATTTAGCTAGACCTGTCTGTGATGATTCTGCGAAATCGCAAACTCACAACATTTTGGTATTCAGGCCACTAAAGATTCGCAAGTTTTTCAGGTCTAGAGTTTTTTTACAAAGCATGATCAGATTTTTCCCAGCATTGGATTTTCCTCCCGAATTTTACCGATCGGTAAACTGAACTGACACATCGAGGTGTCATTTCAAAAGTACAATCTACAACATACGAAAAATAACAAGCTGTAATGACTTACCCGCACCAATTTGGAACGAATACGTTAGTGCAACATTAATGAGCATATAACCAAACGGATAAAAAGTGAAAATAGTTTTTGATCGTTAGTTTAAGAATATCCTAACGGAACATATGACTATATGCATGAAGAACGCCACTTTTTCACGTACACTTTCTTACAGTGCTTACGTATTTATTATTTCGTATCGTGCATGTAAGCTCAGTATGCGAAAACAGTTTTATTCTTAAAGTCTTTCCCATGGAGTCACTTGGTTTTGAATTAGTAACATAACACCTGATCGATCAAATTTCCCGCAACTCTGACACTGAATCGCTCGGTAAAAACGGTAATTATTTAAGCTGGTTTTGTTTTTAGTCCCGTGCAGTGCTTATTAAATTGCTCATTTGCGTTGGTAGAACGTAACTCAACAGTGATTTCACTGCTTTTCTAGGTTTTGTCTCACTGGTATTCTATAAGTTTCTTATCTTGATTGTAACAAAAACAATAGCAACTTATGAGGGCTCATAGTACAAGATGTTCTAACGGTTTTTTTAAAATATGGGCCTAGTAATTTATGTATTTTATTTCTTGGAAGTCACTGGTCTCAATCCCAGTTGCATAAACCGGAAAAAATCCAAATCACAAAGTCCGCGAATTAACGTCAAGTTCGTCCACCTGTACTTGTTTACTAATTTGCTGGAAAGTTTAGAATCCCTGGTAGATCCTATATTTTGCTTACATCCTTCATTTTCTAGGATAGCAATTTTTTTTCCGTGTCGATTACTCATATACCGAGAGACCTGCCATAACAAAAGTGTGCATTGCTCTATACTTCGACTAAGAAAAAAATTGTCTTGGGAAATGCCTATCCGGTCAAAACGAAGTCTGCAAAAAGTACTACTCATTGAGGTTAGAATCGGACAAAATATTAAAATTATTAAATTAAAACGCGTTTCACGAAGCGATCTTCACCGTTTTGATAAACTTAATGCACCTAACTTTCCAGAAAATTATATATTTAATGCTAATGCACACTATTGAGGATCATATCACATATAGACTAAGAAACAAGAAATGCTAGTCTTTCCATATGGTATCTCTTGGTCCCATCATTCTTGCTGTTAATAACCGAAAGTCTAAAGTCGTAACTTGAGAGACTCAATATGTTTATGAAAAATAAAAGCCACTGTACTAGTTGAAATCAAGCTAAGTTTTTCACAGAGTTTCTGATGACCGTCTAATTGTGTGCTGTAGTTATCAATGCCCTCGTCCTTACATCTTGTTGATTGAGAAACGCTTCAAAATTTGTGTGAACTTGGTAGTATTGTACCAGCCTGTACTATTAAACCGTTATGTTGTTCGCTGGATCGTGGACTTGATACTTTCTTACCAATTTAGAATTGGAGGGTAAACAAATAGGAGTAGCTGGATAACAACAATATTAATTCGCAAGTGATTGGAAGTATGAAATGGTAGCTCATTGGTTAGGGCGTGTGACTTCCATGCATTTAGTCTCAGGTTCGGACTCCGATTTACTGACTCCTTCTGGGCTACCGGATAGGACAACTGCTCTTCACATTTAAAGCGTGGTTTGGACCCGAGAACACATTTTTTGTCAATAGTAGTGGTAATAAAGTAAAAGCATAAGCTGCTCTAAGCTTTATCGAGACAGCTATAAAAAATCTAACAGGTTCATTATTATGTCATTATTGGCTTTCGCTTTAAGATTCCTGACCTTCTTGCTCGATGTCTGGCTCTATTATTATTTTTATGAATTATGGATTACATTTATTTGCAATGCTTGCACATGTAGTATTTCAGTCCGGTGATTTATCAACTTTTTCTACCTCCATCAAATACTACTTCACGTTTAAAACGTAACTTTATGCTTGTTAAAACTCCTTTTCTTTGCAGAAAATTGCGTTTTTGTCTTCCTTCTGGGAAACAAATGAACGAATCCTTAGCTAATGGGATTATCAAACCTATGATTTGTGGTTTATGCAGGAAAACGTCTTCATATATCTGTCCTCGATGTAGTATTAATTATTGTTCACTGACTTGCTATCGAAATGAAGCGCATAAAGACTGCTCTGAATCATTTTACCGAGATTGTTGTATTGAATCACTGCGCTGTACCTTTTCTAAAAAGTCAGAAAGATCACACATGAAAGAAGTGTTAAGGCGTGAATCATGTGCTTTATCAGATGACTTCCAGTTAGCAAATGTGAAATTTCAGGTAGACAATGATTATACAGATGATAAGAATGAGAGTATTGAAGATGATTTGCAAACTCGGTAAGCGTTTCTTGTTCTTTTTCATCAATAGTTTAGTTAATTTTAAACATGATTTGTTACATGAAAATATTTTTTTGTATAAATAGGAAAAAAAACTTAACATTTCTTGGATTTAATTATATTAAAATTATATGACTTCTGTCATGTTGACAGGTTATCCTCAAGATCACTAGAAAATTTCTGCCTCCATTTGTGCATCATATAAGAATATGAACATACCTGATTGCAAACAAGATTAGATCACGGACCAAGCGTTTTTGAATCGGGATTATAAATTAGATTAAATGGGTAATTCTGTGATCCAATCAAAACCCAATAGATTGAAGGATTTATCAGTAACATAGCATTCGGATTTGATTATTAGATCATTAAATTTGACTGAACATTTAGTAATTCTAGAAATTTTGATTGGGATGCCCGATGCGTTTTTATGCAATCGTTAGTAGGATGAATGCTTAGACGACCAAGTTCGTACCAAGTTTTGCGAGAAATCAAAGTAACATCGGATGCAGTATTCACCTTCAATGTGATAATACGATAAATACTTGCGTACACATTGGGGTTTAGATTTGGAAAATACATGCATACAATTGATCCTTCTTGGCATTCGATAATGGGATGAGGGTTTGCTGCGTTTGCGAAATTCCTACTTATGGTCAGTCAGTCCACATTTTGTGCATATTTATTTTTATTGAGTGGACAGAAACGAGAGAAATACCATGCCCCATAGTTCCATCAACTAGTGGAAGTCCTTGTAAAGCGACGTGAATTAGAGTCGTGGACATCACACGTTCGATTTGGGCTAGGAAATTTTCGCGGATTATGCTTCATGACAGCAATAGTGCGGTCTGAATGAGAGATTTTCATCAATAGGGATTTGGTTGTTCGATCATTTTAGTATCATTCTTAAAATTAATAATATGGCGACATTCAATTGTGTTATCTTTCAACGTAAGATTGGGATCTGACTCGATTCTGCTTAAAATTCTGGTACAAATATCTGTGTGTGACGATTGCACCCCGTGTACAAAGGTAAAATATTTAAATTGTTCATCAGAAAGTGAACGAAACTTGAAACTCCGCATTGCTTATTAACAAATGCTGCATACGAAACGAAATCCTTTTCAGGTCTCCTAACAGTTCAAAGACAATTACATCGCAAATTGATTAAGGGAGTCTGATCAGTAAACATTTTTGTTAGTTTTCGTACAGTAGAATGAAAAGAAAGATCGTTGGGTTTCTTTGGCAAGGTAAGGTTCGAACACTTCATGTTCAGCTGCTCTAAGCTTACGAATTAGAATTCTCACAGAGAAGTGATCATAATGGGAAAACTTAACTTGGAAGGTGTCTTCATACCTCTTGAACCATGATTCAAATGTGACACCAACACCAGGATCAAAATGAAACTCGTTCATTATGTTGGTCAGTGATTCGGTAGTCGAGCCCCTTAATTGGGACACACGTACTGAATTTTCTTGAATTGACAACTTCTGTACCATCATTTCGACCATTTTCAAATGTGATGCTTGAAATTCTTTTTGATGATGCTGCAGTGTAGATTTAAGCTGATCATATTAGATCGACACTCTGGAATTTGTTTATTTTTACGTGGGTGGTCCAGTATTAGCAATGAGATTAACCGAGGTCTTAGGTAGGATTTGGGAACTGGACGTAATCCCATCTGACTGGTCTCAATCACTGATTGTGCCAGTCTATAAGAAAGGACAAAAGTCCTCTTGTGACAATCACAGAGGAATCTTCCCGATTACTGCTTATACTATTATTACCTCTACCACTACGGGATTTGAATCGACAATTGTATCTCTGTGCTAATGTGGTGTGGCAACTCGAACTGATGTACGTACGTACGAAGTTCTACGTTGTTACTGACTGACTGGGTTCGACAGAAATATGTCGCCAGAAAATGTTGTTTCTGGCAGTGTCCGTAATCTGATACTGATACGCGGTGTTCTACGCATTAACCCCTCCAACTGACTACTTGGGCAAGTAAGGGTATTGGATTACCGAACGAAATCCACAAATACTCTTTCATACATATACCACTCTATTCCTAGGAAATTTATCCAATTAAATGCACTTTTTTGGGTCACTTCTAATGGCCATCGGTTGACCTTCTAATTAGGCTAATTCTGGTTGGCTCTCCATTTCACTATACCCGATATCAGTATTGTTTACTCGTTAATTAGAACTAACCAAAACGTTTGCGTATCTGGGTAGTTATATGGATGATGTTGGTGCCTTAGTAGATGAGATCAACCAAGTAATAACAAACCAGTTGAATTTTTGCCAACCTAGGCCATCTTTCGAACCGTCATGATATCAGCAACGTCTAAAAACTATCAGTGGGAGCAGTTCACTTCATGTCCTTTCCGAGTTGAGGATATTCGGAGACTATGCTCGATCAACGTTGTCTCCAGAGGAGTACTGATATCCAATCGCAACACCATGTTAGATATGTTAAGGTCCTGGAATGTATGTTCGATTGCAGTGACGTCTATTCAGTTGGTGTTATCTTGAAATAACAACTTCGGTAGTTTGGTTATGTTATGAGTGTCATCCCAGGTTACCTCAAAATACACTTTGTGTCGACTCTTAGGTCGGTTGAAAAAAAACAGAGAGGTAATCCCTGTAAGATATGCCGTTGTGATGAGATGGATGTATAATAAGACTGGAATCTGTCAGTTCGTCACGACTTAATGATTAGGGTCTTAGATGTAGCACGACTCAGTGGCTTGAAATGTTACCATGTATACTTCAGAATAGAAGCCATTAGGTATCCTGGTGTATTTTCCTATTGTATTATTCATACTAGTGCGATGAATTCTCTTAACTAAAATGTGCTTCTCTCAACTAAATTTTTAGTTATTTATTGGTTATATTACTCTTTCCTCCTCTATTTCTTCACAATATTATAGCTTCATTTGTGTAGTACATCTTGTATATTCTCTATTAAACCACAGTTTACATGCACCGCAAATAAATAAAGCGCAGTTGTTCTATCATAAAGGTAAAACAATGACTTAAGTCTCCTTACGAATTGCAATAATATTTATGAAGTACAGGACAAACTACACAGCAATCGCCGCTTGTTCCGTACAGCTATATCCTCCTAGGCTGGTAAAACCTTCAAGACTTATCCAGCTTCACGTAATAATAAGTATAGGCTTTTCGATTCTAAATCTCTTTAGATTATTTGAAAAATTTTCAACAAGTCTAATGCATGAATTTAATGGAGGGATCAAAGTTATATCCCTCTTAATTTCATTTATTGCGTACATATATTACGTAATAGCATTATTGTCATTCAACGTTTTCTTAAGAGTAGGTTAATTCTTATGCTTTGAAACTAAAGTTGTTAATCGGAATAAAAACTTCGGAATGTTTTTGCTTCAGTTTGGGTGATTTAAATTTGGAAACTGAAGATGTTAATGTCATCTGGTCATGTTTGACCCTGAAAGAAAAACGAGATTTCAGTAGACTTATTCAGTCAAATGCTATCGTTCATTTCATACCAACGTGGACTCCCTGGTGGTTAGAGCAAAAACCAATTATTGAAGAAGTAAATCAACAGAATGCTTCAGTGGACAAATCGCGAACCTTACCTAGTATTCAATCGTTAAGTCAACTTTTACCATCCGGAATATCGCCTCACCCTTCAGTTGGGTATATTTTAGCAGATGTATTGTTGGGATATGCTTTTGTTATGAGGTAAGCTAGTAACAACGAGTAATCCAATAAAGTTTTGTTTAGCTTTAAGTTTCCACTGATTTTGTTATAAAAATTAATGTTTCCTTGTATTTGTGTATGTCTGTTAATTAACTGAATAAACTCTAGACTTGAAACCATAGTTACTGTATGATCCCATAGTACTGTCCAAATGAATGTTAATCAAGCATTCTCAAATGTTTATGCAATGGAATGACATTTCAGAATTAAATAGAGTAAGACAAAAAGCCGGTTTCATTAATGCTTGTCTAGGCTAGAAACAGTTATTTTCATATTATTGTCCTTGGCTAACTATAACTGTAGTAAAACAAAGAAATCTCTCCGTAACAGGTATTTCTGACGTTTCAGAAAGTATTCTAGTTATTGTACCTGTACTTACAATTAACAATATATATATACACTTTGATCAAAGTTAGTGATTATTGTGACTCATTGATCTAGTGGATAATGAGCTGGAATTTTAAGCGGTTTATTCTAGGTTTGAGTTCAGTGTAAAGATTAACACTGGAATCCAAATATATTCAGGCAAAAAATCGCAAACAAGAAAAAAATCGTTCTACTCCTGGCTCGTTTATCAAGAAATAGTTTTTTAAAAGGAATTTTGTGTCCATCTACTGTCTGTGTATAAATCATTTTTTCTACTTATTAAAGATTTTATAATGGTGACTACATGGACTTAATCGATGATGCAGGAACTCTTCTGTGTAATATAGTTTTATCATTCACAAAATCTCAGACTATTTCAGTCTCATCACTGAATACTACTACTTCTACTAATAATAATTCATCAGATTATTTAAAGAAAACAAGAATAATTAGAAGACAGAGTGGAAATAATCCAACTCATCAAATATATAACTGTATAAATGAAATTCTTGCCGCAATTCAATATAAACTTATGGAGCTAAATTTACCTTGTCATCCTTCAATTATGATACTATTGCTTGAAGATCTTAGTCATTTATTAGATAATATTGGATTTTGTAATAAAGCACTGAAAGACGTGAATAAATTAATAGTGAATTTCAGGAAAACTCTACGTGCTGTAAACTCAAATGAAAAATTACGATTAAAAGCAAATGTTGCTCACCATAAAATAGTCTTTCTTCAAGCTTGCCTTGATGATAACAATCAATTGGCTAAACGTTGGCAAACAAATGTTTTACCAAAATTATGGAATCAAATATCTAATGAATTAATCCAACGAATTAATGATATTGAAAACTCAAGTACAGATAGACGTGATGAAAAATCTGCTGGTCCAAATTGGCGCAATATTATTCGAGATGAAAATGTTTACAAAAGTTCTTATTGTCGTACGTTAGTCGAGTCACTTGATACTAATAACTAAATGCTTCATAATTTCTTGAGTACCTGTACATAATATACATATTTTAATATTTGCTCATGGCAATAAATCTAACATTTTATCAGCTTGGTGGAATTTTGCTACTACTTTGATAAATTGTTTGAGGTTGCCTACCGTGACGACAGAGTTGAAGTTTATTGACAGGATCACGTGTACCATAACTTCCTAGCATACCAGAGATGTAAAAACCTCAGGTTAGTCGTACTACTGACCATTTTAAGGTGTAGGGTATTTCCCAGTGATGACCACCACCACCACCACCAATAATCCGTTCTCGTAGATGAGAGATTGTGAATTTTGTTTTCCTGAACAGCACGTTACTATTGTCTTACGAAATTACGATGCTGTTAGAAGTTAACTCGACAGAATCGATAGCTTACAGGTTTCGCGTTTGCTAAGTCATAAAGAAACCTTACGTCTAGTCATAGTGATTGATAGTATCAATTGGACAGGGAATATCTGCTACTCAATGTACATTAATATATATATATATATATATATATATATATATATATATATATATATATATATATATATACTAATAGAACTACTAACATTGACAACCGTGAACAATAAACGCATAAGACTTCACGTTTCTTTTTTTCAGACGGGCTATTCCAAAGCGAAAAGCTAGAACTATACAAAACTCATCAAAGATCGATTAGGCGAATAGCTATTCAATACAAATACTTTTACAAAGTAACTAAAAATGAGGCTAGGATATATCGTATTAACAAGTTAGGCAATAAAAGGGGGGTTTTTGAAAGCATTACATTGAAGGGCGCATAGGAGCAGAAGAAAAACTGTTCCCACAGTTTTAGTGAGGTGTGTGCTACTGATGTCGATGGATATAAGTATGTATTACGAATCGAAAGTGAAATGCCTGGAGGCAGAAGATCGAAGAGAAAAAGACAGATAGTGATTGGTTTGGAAACGAAGGTGCAATCAAATCTGAGACAACTGAAATTTTGCAAATGAAGTGTTTACTGTATGGTTTCACAGATTTTACTGAGAGATTCTGTAATTTTCTATTCAAATACGTTTGGTTGCCCCCACTGGTGTTCTCGTTCACTACACTAGTGCTTAAGCAAATTCAAGGAATATTATCAGCAAGTAATCACCGGGTTTCAAACCACAATAAATTACATGAGCCCGTATGAAATAGGATGTTTCTTTACTAAATGGTACATCTAATGTGTGATAGCGTGTTTCATCTAACAGGTGGTAGTTCTGATAGACTGTGCCTTTTTTTAATAAAATATTTTCTATCAATAGTACAAGAGGGTTTCAGTGAAGAGACGCCTTCCTAAAGTTAACCTAATTATCGATTAAAAGATAATAGGACTGAAAAACTGGTATCAAAAAATGGAGAGTACACAGCAGAACTATGAGAAATCCCAAAAAGTGAATTTAGAACGATTGCACTAAACCACTTATCAAAGAAAAATCTCAGTGAACTAACTAAGTGTATGTCAGAATACTTGATTGGTCCATGTGTAAAAAGTAGCAGATGTCAATTAAAAACTTTTTTAGTTATGTAAGAAGGTTCCTACTTGATTGGGTGAGAACAACTTCCATGTACGATACAATACAAAAGCAAGTTGTGTCAGTAAGTATTGGAAATCATTCCAGAAACTGGGAGAATGCTTGTTTTAGCATTCAACTTGGGTAAATATTGGGGGTTAGATTCAGATAATACATGCATACAATTAATCCTTCTTGGCATTCGATAATGCGATGAGGGTTTGCTGTGTTTGCGAAATCCCTCCTTATGGCCAGTCAGTCCACATTTTGCAGATTTATGTTTATTGAATAAACAGAAACGGGAACTAAACAATACTTGACAATTCAGTTGAACAGTATAGAAGCAGTTTTTATTTCTTAATTAAATAAGATTGTGAAAATAACATGGAATTGGAAAATGGAAAAAATGCGATCCGAATTATATTTATGAAACCTATTTGTATAATATAATACATAAATTATTCAAGTGGAATAGTTGTGTTTGTTGAAAACTAATTACATATAATATATGGAATCGGATTTTTCACATAAAACAAAGAATGCAGTCAGTGGCACACTGGTATCTTATCTACAAGGAATCAATCGGTTTTTTATGTTAAATGATTCAGTTTGTATTGATCCAATAACGATTACCTAAAGGATGATCTTTAAAATAATATGAACCGTATTCTTCATACATTTGCTTAGTTGTGTAGTACTCGTCAGCATACGATGAGTTCGCGAAATGACGCGCTCCATGCCATGCGTCCAAATGAGGATTAGCTAGTAAATTGTATTTATAAAACAGTATGAAATATCCACGTAATTCGAATTTCACCAAAGAAAACAGGTTTAAATAAAACGTTTGAATCAAAGTATGTTGATATTACAAAATGTATAAATCTTTTCAGATGTGGATAGTAAGACAGCCTGCCATGTAAATTGAGCATAATCAGTATGATCCTGTATAGGATCTACGTTGCTGATTAGTATCACATATATTATCAATGTATGTTTATTAACATTATCCAAAAAAACAGGAAATATTGTAGGAAGCAATTTCCTACAGGTGTAACTCTAAGCTATTCTCTAGACTGTCGAGCACAGAATCTTGGTTTAGTCAGAGTCAGAACAAGTAAGCTGTTTGGCTTGACAAACTTTATCTATTTCTGAAACATAAATTAACACCGTTAGTATACAAAATAAACAGTACAGTCTCTCAACACGGGGAAAAACAGAGACATAAATAACATACCGAACAGTAGCTAGAGGATAGGAAAAATGAGTCAACAAGGCAAATATTGTTTTATAGTGAACATAAAATTGTGATTGGTGAATAAACAAGACGTAGTCATGCAAGGTCAAAAAAAGTTAATGTGGTGGTGGCCGTTTCACTTTGTCATTGCTGAGTTCGCTTATCGATCACACCTTACAAATATCTAGAAACATCAAAAAAGTACCTCAAATGTTTCAGGCTAACACATTGATCTAATTAACAGTGCAGTCACGAATCTACTCTAAAAATTCTCGATACAAGAATTAAAAGAGGGCCATATGGTACTAAACTACATTACTCCGCAAGGATTTTATACATTTCAAGACACTGACTACTTTCCAAGGAAATATATATAGTATGCAATTTATAGACATTTCACAAATATTTCAAGAGACCCTGAAAAATACCAAACCTGTTATGGTATATAAATCACAATACGCTCAAGTGCGATGATAATACCACTGCTTCAGTATTTAGAAAATGAATAAAGAAGAGGAAATCTCATCATGCCTATACATACATAATGACTATAATTCCCCAACTAGCTTGCCAGCTGTTTTGTGGTTTGTTAGCCTCGTAAGCAAATGTTCTGACTCGTTTATCACATAAAACTCATACATTTGTGTATGATAATTAACCTATTCCCGATTGTGTTCTTATTTAACTTTCTGTATTAGGGAGTTTTTGGTTGATTTGTTAAAACCTTTTAAACTAAGAGTATTCATATTTGAACTAATTGTAATAAAAAATAACGGATCGGAAGATGTATCCTGTATTTTGTTAAAAGAAACTCAACCTTATTTCAACTTACCAGCTACAATAACTTCAATGTTATCCCATTTTGATCCAACAGGTAATAAAGGCCTGATATCGTATCGAATTCGGTCGACAAGACCAGGTAGAGCAGCAACGCCACCGGTTAGATATATTCTTTGAGGAAAGCTTGGCTCAGATGAATTATCAAGTAAACGTGATGTATCTCGCAGTACAAACTCTAAACAATCGGAGAGACCAGCTTCTGAACTACCCATAAAACTTGGCTGAAATAAAACTTCATGAGATCTAATATGAAACAAGAAAAGAAGACAACGTAAAAAATACCATTTACTAAAAGAGGGTTTGGCAGTATTTCAGTCAAATGAGATGGGAGTTATTTAACTGGTTTATATCAATCTACTGAAAACCGGCCTTTCTTAGATGTCTACTATGTTTCTAATGTGATATACTGCCTAAAATTCTGTGCAGTGATAGTGCGCCTTTAACAGTATTATTGAATGTTGAGACAACATTTATTGACATCTCATGGAACTTGTCATATAGTTGTAGCTTCTAAGATTCTGTCACTAGGACACAATGATCTTATGGATAGCAGACCATCTATTGTTTTATTTTCATACACCAAGATCAAATAATGATAAATGACACGAACAGTAATAAAAAAATAAAAAGGAAACAAGACTGTCTGTATTAGTCTTGGTTCTCTTTAAACTACCTTACTTGTCTATATTTATGCCAACTGGCAAACAAAAGATTCGAAACTTATCCCATCCACTTTTTTGGATAAAACGTTTTTTAAGGACCGCTATCGTTTTACCTTGTTATTATTACTACTTATTATTGTAATTCCTATGTGATTTAAGTAGACTGCTCGCTTGTCTCAGTTCATACGCGAGTAACCAATCACATAGGATTGTGAATAAATGAAGTGTGGTACATACTTATTCCTATTTTAGTCTGTTGTTTTCAATTATCAACTTCTGATTTGCTTCTGAAAAAACAAACAACCGATCTGTATTGAAATACTAAACCATCTCACATTTTATAAAAACGAATTCATTTTTATTTTCATCACAATACAAAGGCAATAGATTATTCATCTTATTTTAATTAAAAATAACTGACTTACCGCATTAGTTCTGTATCAACATGGATTTGATAAAATTGATCTAAATCAACTCTTAAATCTGTAACTCCCAAGTCCCTAAAATATTTCAATAATAAAAAATATGAATACTACAAACCAATTTACACTCGCTTAACAATTAATTAGGGTTTTACGAACGAATTAAATGTGTAAATATAATTCACTATATTAAGGACATTCACAAAAATAAAAAGAGCTCGTTCTTCATTTCTTTTTAAAAATGGAGGATAGAGAAAAAACCTTACTTGTCACTTTGGTATCATTTTCAGACTATCCTAACGGTAGTATATAATTAATAGCTTTAATTCTATAATGCATATATCTTCAGTCACTTGAACAGTGATTTTGTCTTTTGAAATCTATTTAGTAGATGGGTTTTTTGTAAGCAAATAATCAATTCGCTGACCGTCATTTGTCTTAGTATTATCTTACCAAACTGATTGTTTCAGTATAAAATCGTTTAGATCGACTCATAGATTCAATTAGATAAAACATCTTATCTTTCAAAACTCTGGATTGTTACACGTTTTCCAAATATCAGAGATGATTTTATACTTAATAAACGAACAATTATGTTTAATATGTACTCCCTTTAAAGTACAACATAAAAATGATTTTTCGTCTACTTCGTCAAAGGTAATTCTTATCAGGAACGTGAAACAGCTAGAAAACCGGAGTGAACCAAATAATTGTTTCCCGCATATACGTGACTTCATAGGTGTATATACACTATTGATGGTTGAAATACAGATCCTAACCAACTGATTACAATTTCGAATACCCCTCTGCCTATCTTGTTTCTGATAATAAAGAGTACTATGAGTATGTAATTCCATTTAGTTGAAGCTTGATTCAATATTTGTGGGAATGAAAGATACAAGTAAGCATATACACATATGTACAACTACACACATATGCCCAAATAAAGTCATGGTAAGTGTGTTACTTATGTCAACATAAGTAGTATATAACACTAGTCAGGAATAGAAAGTCTGGCAGCAGAAGGTCGAGAAGGAAAGAATGAGAACAAAAAGCGATTGGTATGAAAATGCAGGAACAATGAAGTCTGAGACAAATAATAGACATTTTGCAAATGAGTTATTTCCTGCATCGTTCTCAGATTTTACTAAGACGTTCTGTAATTTTGTGTTCCATTACATTCGATTGTCCCCACTTGTGCTGGAAAGGTCAAAATGTGACCCCGATTCGGTTCGTTGTACAGCACTGTACCCTGGGATTGTGTATTGAAGTGGAGTACTTTTACACGACTAGCAAGACCCTGTACATGCACTTACCACTGCTAGTAAGCAGATAGATTTATGCCAACCTGGGCAATCTCTGGCTCCTTCCTGATGTCAGGTTGCCTGTTGAAGGTCAGATCCATAATGTGTCGGTGAGAGCAGTTTTGCTCTATGCTTGTGAAACCTGGTCTCTTCGAGTTGAGGATGTTAAACGACTCTCTCTGATTTATCATCGTTGTCTCCGAAGGATTGTTGACATCTAGTGGCAACACCACGTTGATAACGCAGAGGTTCGACAACGCATGTTCGGGGCACAGCGGTGAAAATTCAATTGGTCACCATTTTGAAACACTGACTTCGATGACTTGGACATGTTCTACGAATGTCGTCCCACAGAATTCCACGTCGTGCATTATTTGCCGACGCTGGGACTGATTGGAAAGAGCGGAGGTGGTCAGTGCATGACATGGTGTCGTGGTATGAAAGAAAGCTGCACAACACTGGTTTCTGTTGACCCTGTACGAATCCCTCCGTGGTTAAGGTGCAGCACAGTGGCTTCAGACGTTTCCATGAATGGCTTAGAATAGAAACCAGTGGAGACCCTGCTGTAAATTTATATTACTTTCTTCATAAAACAGACATTAAATCCTTGAAAAAAAGAATTCTTTCTGGTTGCATTTACCCTAACTATACTGCTCCTACCATTTGATCATTATTTCACTCTCTGATTTCTATTCATTGTTTTTTATTATGCTCACTTTTCTTTCTCTATCTCTTCACAACCTCATTTTTATTTTGTGGTGCATATGTATTTGGTACCTCCTTGTTCAAATGTTTACCTGTCCAAATAAATAAATAACCCATTTGCGTATGACATACTACATGCCACAAGTACACAGAAATGTGTATTTCGTACATGCGGTGTGAACGAAAACTCAGATGGGGGAAACCAACTTGTTGTTTAATGCAAAATTACTGAGTGCTTTCATAAAATACGGTAACCTTACATTGAATACATTATTTGCACATCTTCATTCTGTTATCCTTTACATGCTTTATGACTCTTTTAATTCTGTTCTTATTACAATTGCTCTCTGTTTGCATTCCTGTTCTCTTCAGTTCAATTTTTTCAATCATCTATGGTAGGCATTCCACTTCTGATTGGTGTTACATACTACTTATATCTATCAACATAAGCAACATACACCACACATGTAATGAATTTATCTTTAATTTATTTCATATCACCTCAAGTTGTAGATGAGAACCATATTACGACACAAAAGTTGACCTGTGTCCCCTGGTCTTCAGCAGTTCTTAAATTAGGAAGCTCCCCAAATTCCGTTAGTATAAACGGAATTGCATAGTATTCAGCATCTTCAAGGACACATGTGTGTAAAGTCTCAAAAAGTAGTACGAGAACATACACATAAAATTAGTGGAACTTACTTTGAAGCTTCTGGATCGTAAAGTGACAAGAGACTGTCAATAACTGCCAACTGATCTCGTTCATTTTCACTTTCATCACCTGTATTATCAGTACGATAATCAGATATGGCGTTAGTCTTTTTTGTGACAATGGAGAGACTGGAATCTTCGTTTGTATTTTCATCAGCATCAGGGTCCCATAGACGATTCAAACTATTCGAAGAGTTAATCTGTTCCATTTCAATTGAATCGTCGAAACCCAGTAAATCAGAATTTTCCTCACCTAATGTGTCGTTTTCATCAGTAACAGGATTTATTTCCAGAGGAGGAACACGACTATCATTCTAATGAAAGTTGAAATTTTTCGTTTGAAAAGGTGTTGAAGAAATCACATTAATGTATGTATTGACAGTTCAATGATAAAAATTATAAAATTAGTTTTATAATGGATAAATACTAAGTGATTGTAATTGTAAATAAATAATAGACAAATTAGCTCATTCACCAGGTACTCGGGTAGAAGCCATACTTTAAGTTTGACGACTAGTGATACTACCCGGTTGCCCAAACCGAGTTAGGTGGGGCGGCGTTTGAACTAGAGACTTTTTGTTTCAAAATCAAACGGCTTAACCACTAAGCATTGGGAGGATTTTTTTCCTCAAAACTTCAAATGTACGATAAGTTATGAATAACACTTATTTATTAGAAAGAAAAAAATGGCACTTGAGTACTTAATCTTCAAATGAAATTAGTTGGTTACTTTTTATGGATTATGCATTGGTCCGTTGTTTTGGTGATAATTTTTCTTCATATAGTTGTAAACTCGCTTTGGACTCGCCAATAATTATTAAGTCTTTTACCAAACAAAAATGAATATTAGTTCCCCATAAATGTGTTGCTCAATTTAGTATACACCCACTGCGATCTACAAAGTTTAGTACATTGTAGTAACCTTGTATTTTACTGAAATTATCACATGAACTAGGAATTAAAATGATCAAAATATCCAACACAAATTATCTGGTCTTCTGAAGATTTGGTTACATAAGAATCTCCATGGGACATTGGCTATGTAAAAATATGTAGTGTGTTGGGCTAGAGTTACTATTATTGGTGTCAAATAGACAAAAAAACGTCACACTACACAAGTGGTAAAAGTAACAAACCTCAGTACGTAAAATTCGACAACGGCCACGTGGTTTTAAAGATCCACGAGATACGGCACCCGACCGAATACCACGTCCATTTCCTCGAGAACGGCCTCTTGATGGTTTTAATTCAGCTGCCATAGCACGTATTTTTTCCAACTGCATACGACGACGTTCTGTTAAAACTTTTTTGGAATCATCATATTTATCTTCATCAGGCCTATATATTCTAAGAACAATAAGGGTAAAAAATCACTCACAAAGTAAATGGAGTGTAACAGGACATACAAAATATACGAATGTTAGTTAAAGTTAATAAATAAACGGGCTACAATACCTAAGAAACAAATTTGAACAATGCACAAGGATACCTCAAAAACCAAGAAATGTTTAAAATTTCCACGCTATTTTTCGATTACTATTATTTGTATATTTATTGTATAGTTTGTAGGTAACTTCGTTGTTGCATTTCCATGTCTATCTTATTGTAAGCTTTCAGTGAACCTATTGACTATCGTTATGTATTGTTATTCCATAATTATTGCTAATTAACTATGTAGTTTCCTCAGCGGTTTATCATTTATTCTTAGTATGAATTCTTATTTGGTGTGCTGTGTGGTCAGATATTTCAAATACACTATTGCATGTGTTTTGAGTCATAAATGAATTTAGTAAAAGAGAAAATTAGTCTGCTTTCTTTCTGCATCTTTTAGTAAGCTACTAGGTTAGGAGCTCGGGGATCAATAAGCGTCAAACCCTTAATTGTTGTTCTTTGGTCAATATGTAAATTTATTAAATAGGTTACTGGTCCGATTGGTAATTATGGTACGTGATAGTGATTCAAATCTCTAACAGCAGCAAATCAATGTTTCACAAAATGTCACAGTTTAAGCAACTGAACATCTTCACCATCCTGCACACTACGAGTGAGGTTTAAAACTAAGTACACGAATCTGTACCTGTACATGGAGTCATTGATATTTAACCATTGAAGTGTATTCGACTACGTTGTACCTAGTCACTACTGTTCAACTTAAATATAGAGGCAATATGAACGTATTATCTTACCAAATATGATATATATCTTAAAAGCTAAAAACTAGATTAATGAGGTTTTTGATAACCGTGATTTAATACAAACAACAAGCTAAAAAATAAATCCAATAAGGAAATATACTGAAGAGAAAGTCAACTAACTGAGCATAATCAAGTCCAACTAGACAAACTTGTGTTAATTATGATGTCTAGAACGACAATGATAATTACAGCTTAGATAACACAACAATACAAAAAATAATCTTGCTGGTTCATGTTCTCTCGAAAAAAAACAGAATCGAGGCTCTTCAATCATAAGGACGTGGATAAAAGCAAAAAAACGGTAACTTAATTACCCAGAATTTGTAGAATCACTACTCAATCCATTACGTCCAGAATTATTAGCGGAAATACTTGGCTGTGTACCAAGTGTAGATCTAGACTGATTAGTAAAATTATCTTGGTCAGATCCAATATCAAACTGGTCATTTGTATGAAGGCCTATTTGTGTTGCTAAGTCTACGCGACTTTGACGTTGAGCTCGTTTCTTCGATACATACAATCGACGATCTCTTAGTGAATTTAACCACAGCTATTAATCAGAAAGGTGTAATAAAATAAAAAAAAGTTTTGATCAATGGGGTGTTAATGTTGCTTAATACTCTACATACATCATATAGGAAAATGAGAATCCGGATTTGTTTTTGTAAATGACTATACATATGTAGAACGAAAATATATAAGTAATGAAATGTGTTTTCTACCTAGAGGACTTAAAGCACGTGACTACCGACCACCCACTCTGCCAACTTAAGGCTTGGTAACCGAATGGCATCAAACAAAAATGTATGGCATAAGCTAAATTACGTAACTCTATACAAGATTACCAATTTAAATTCACTTATTCGCAAGTATTAAAAAGGATTCTAGCAATATAAAAAGATGTCTACGTTACGCTAAACCGAAGCTATGTTGACACTATAAGTAGGAATTAAACTGCGTCTTAATCTTATTGGCGATCGAGTAACCTAAGTAACTCGTAACTTTCGATCGCTTGTTTCAAAAAGTATCGAATTACACTTATCATTCTGTTTATTAGCTTGCACAGAGATGTGCTATTTTAGTAACAGAAAAACAAATTTCGCTGACTATTTGGGTTATCTTTTGAAATCAATTGATTCACGGGGTTTGCTTCAATAATTCAGTTTTGTCAACAAATCACAGTTGGTCACTTTTAATCTCTGCACGTGATTTATCCATTCATTTAGCCGCAAGAAGCATGCTCACTGTTACAAATCCTCAAAACTATATCCTCCTAAACAAAAGTGTAAATTGAGTAAGAATGAATATCTTCAAATCTAAAGAACATGATAATCTAACAGATGATTGAATTAATCAGTTTGAAAAATATGAAGTAAAACTATCGAAGGAAAGTAAAATTAGGATGCTTTACCAATATATTTAGTTATTACTTCCAGGAGTCTTCATCTTTTCTCTTAATAAGTGCTTTGAATGTTAACTTCAGCATAATGATTGTGTAATGTATGTTTTATTCAAGACTATTTTGTATTGTGAAAAAGGGGTAGTGGTTTCACAATAGTGTAATCTCATCATTTCTAGTCGTCAACGTGTAGTGGATCTATCATTTATAATTGACCTCAAAAGAAGAGATACCTACTAAAAACTGCGTTTTGACTTTTCTGAAATATTAACATTCTGAACATAGTCTCACATTCAATAATACAAGAAAAGTCTACGTGTTGCTATGTCAAAACAATCAACACAAATTTAATACACTGCAACTAACTTTAACTATTACGACTATGAATTAGTGCATATTAGACCGGGCTGATCGTCATAAACTGATCAGATGAATATTTTACCTCAACAGTTAGTCGTTAACCTAGTGCAACTGTACATACTATTAAATGGACACAAATAGGATGTACTGAATGACTAATCTTGTGCATTGTATAGCCTAAATCAGTTTCTTTTTGTCGTAAACTTAAGATTAAATAAATTGGACTTCACAATGGACTAGACAAATGTAGATTATGATCTCATGATATATGATCAGACTGTAACACAGATATATTATATCTGATTTTTTAAAACAACGTTTTAGTTCATGTAACTCATCACTGTCGTACCAAATCTACAAACACATATAAAACTCTTTTTGAAATGAAATCATTAGACTGGTTAACTGATCAGTAGCAGATAAAAGATTGGATGACACTGTATTTAGTTGTCATGTTTTCTACGTAAGAAACAATAAATTAAATATTATCTGCATAGAGGAAACTGAAAGTTTCGACCAAAAATTGACCTTATAAAGACAATAAGAATAAAAGACAGTGCTTAATATTTTAGTTTACTGAACAGAGCTATATAAAATGTCAAGACAGTAAGCAAAAGTTGACGTTTCAAAGAATACTTACACAAAAATCCTCACCATTTATAAATTCGATTTCTCGTGCCATTTCAATGCGCTAAAAAAAGTTACAACAAATTACAAACTAATGATTAGTGTGCATTTATAGACGTATACTGCGCGGCAGTCCGTTCTGTTTTAATTTACGGCAGCGAAACATGGCCATTAAGAGTAGAAGACACTCGTAAGCTATTAGTATTTGACCACAGACGCCTTAGAAATATTGCTGGCGTCTGTTGGGACCACCGGGTAACTAATAGTGAGGTTAGACGCAGAGTGTTTGGTAATGATGGTAAATCAGTTGATGAGGTTGTTAATCTTCATCGACCGAGATGGTTGGGCCACGTGTTACGTATGCCTGAACACCGATTACCACGACGTGCAATGCTAACGGGTGTTGGAGATGGTTGGAAGAGAATTAGGGGCGGCCAAACCAAAACGTGGCATCAGTGCTTGAAGACACTAACCTCTACTCTGAGCCATGTTGGTAGATACAGACTACTTGGTTGGGGTCCGCGTGACTTTCGTAACCGATGGTTGGGGACTCTTGGTGACATGGCTCAGAATCGATCACAATGGCGTCGGTGTATACACTCCCTGTCTTCCCTTAAACTAAGAGATTAAAATCACTTCATATCTTTCTTTCTACGAACTAATTCTTTCTTACTGTACTATATCCTTATATGCAATCTTTCTCCTATATATTACCACCATTGACTTAACTACTATGAATCCGGTGTTCATCTTGTTGTGTTAATGAGGTATGGCAACTTGGACCGATGCATATATGTGCCTGGTCCTACGTTGTAGCTGACTGACTGATTTATAAACATCAGAAGTCGATAAAATTATCCATTAGTCATAATCCAAATATAACTGAGTTGAGATCGGTACCTATTGCGCATAATTCATTAATCCTTCAATTTGGTAAGGCGAAATACAGAGATAAAAGTATGATTAGCTTTGGTTATCACTTACTTATATTTCTCCAATCATATACTGAAATCAACCGATGACTAAGTACGGATTGGATATTAAATTCAGACATATGCAACAAATCGAGTGACAGTTGTTCTTCAGTGATTTAAAGTACTTTAAATTTATATTAAACAAGGGAGTCAGAAATCATTATTCATGGGCACACTTCCCGTACAAGATGAAGTGATAACGGATTTGGATTATTCATTTGAAGGAAAATAACAGGAATTATGAAAGGCATTACTTAAAATTAGTTTGTTATAACTTGTGACCTGAGTGCCCTGTTAATGTATAACGTAATGATACCGCCAATTAGGGAGCAGTGACGTATCGATCGGATCAATGGCGCGTAAACTCGTATGAGCATCCTAGAGTCCTGATTGGTTCTGCTTCCTGCCAAGCCCAGCCAGTTAAGTCCAGAACACCAACCCGAGCCTCTGCGATATGAATCGTTTATTTCACGCATACTGGGTTTATATACCAGACAGACAGACCGCATCGTACCAATAAAATAGGAAACAACATTTATACAAGATTTGGCCAAATGTGGTTGTGAATGTGGGTGGTAGTAATCAATAGACAGGGAATAATTCAAGAATGGAAAATCGTATAATAACAGTTCATAGGTTAAAATAAATCCTATGATAAGAGAGACATGAATACGAATAGTTTAGTTAATTAACAATTATACGATAAAAATATACGCATAGTATTGGTCCACAAATGGATCCCAAAAATTACCACTCATTATTCTTATCGGAAAATAACAAGTTCAACAAATAAACAACTTACATGACGAAGTTTAGCCTCAGTGAACTTCCAATCACTTGAACTTGTATTCAGAGACATTTGTGATTGTACAGCAGATGGTAATGATTGCGAGATTAATAATTCAGCAGCACGTTTGTATCGACCAGTTAATTCGTTGGTTACCGTGTTAAATGAATTTGTGTAAACAGTATTTATCGTTTCCAGTAAATATGAATAAGACGATTTAAATTCCCCATCTTGTTGACTTGCATCAACAGAATCAAAATCCATCGATTCTTTTTCATCATTACCGTCATTATCATTTTGATTATCATTAACATAGCTATTCGTTTCAATCTTTTTGATAGATGGCGTAGACTCGATTTTACTAGGATTCAGTTGGGCTTTTAGCTTTTCCATAATTTTATGACATGCGTTAATTTCATGACTTAAATCCGTCGCATTTGACAAACCTAAGTTGGAAAGAATTTGCTATAGGGAAGTAAAAGGATTGACATGGAAAAATTGGAAATCAATGAAAATAAACTTAACATTACATTTTAAAAGAAATACTTATTTATGTATAATAACAACTGATAAATATAAACGTTTTGGAAATTATACTACTGACTAAAATATGGAGTAAACATTATCAAGAAAGGATAATATTATGTTATCTGAATAATAGTGTGTCAGTAAGAAATGAATTTCAAATAAAAATTTCATTGGGTTCGCACGAGGATTCTGTCTAAGTGCACCATATATATAAAAATCTCGAAATCGAAATACGGAATTTTACTGATAATATGGTACTCTCATGGAAAATAAAGTATTCGCTGAAAACCTACAAACCATGTAACGTGAAGTAGTCTCAATTTCAATTAAGCCACTAAATAAACACTCGCAGAGAAAATTTACACTTTAAATAAGTGAATCGTGTTTAATCACAGCAACTATTTTGGATGAGAATGCAGAAAATATATATGTCAATCGCGAGATTTAACAATAAATGAAAATAAATGAGGCACTAAGTGTCGAAAATATTCAAACAAATTTTTAAAAAATTCGGACAAATTTAAGAATTCAGAGGAAACATTCAAATTAATACGAACGACAGAATAAAACAAAGACATCGAGATCGGAGTACAAACGGATAGGAATACTGATTGACATAAAAGGACAACATTTGTTACATCAATCTTCAGAAAACGATTAAATATATTCACATTATCTGTTATTAACAGTTATTGTGGTGTACGATACAAAAAGGAAGAAAAATATGAATTAAGCTATAAATAATAAGTAGATTTAACATTTGTGCAGACTAAAAATTGTACGTTAATTCGCTGAAATCATCACGAACAAAAACGATTATTAAACATAAACTAATGAACATATCTCATGTTTTTTTGTGGAAGTCAGTCAATCAGTCAGCTACAACGTAGGACCAGGCACATATATGCATCGGTCCAAGTTGCCATACCTCATTAACACAACAAGATGAACACCGGATTCATAGTAGTTAAGTCAATGGTGGTAATATATAGGAGAAAGATTGCATATAAGGATATAGTACAGTAAGAAAGAATTAGTTCGTAGAAAGAAAGATATGAAGTGATTTTAATCTCTTAGTTTAAGGGAAGACAGGGAGTGTATACACCGACGCCATTGTGATCGATTCTGAGCCATGTCACCAAGAGTCCCCAACCATCGGTTACGAAAGTCACGCGGACCCCAACCAAGTAGTCTGTATCTACCAACATGGCTCAGAGTAGAGGTTAGTGTCTTCAAGCACTGATGCCACGTTTTGGTTTGGCCGCCCCTAATTCTCTTCCAACCATCTCCAACACCCGTTAGCATTGCACGTCGTGGTAATCGGTGTTCAGGCATACGTAACACGTGGCCCAACCATCTCGGTCGATGAAGATTAACAACCTCATCAACTGATTTACCATCATTACCAAACACTCTGCGTCTAACCTCACTATTAGTTACCCGGTGGTCCCAACAGACGCCAGCAATATTTCTAAGGCGTCTGTGGTCAAATACTAATAGCTTACGAGTGTCTTCTACTCTTAATGGCCATGTTTCGCTGCCGTAAATTAAAACAGAACGGACTGCCGCGCAGTATACTCGTCCTTTTATTGATAGACGGATATCTCGCCTTCGCCACAGGTGACGTAAGTTGGCAAAAGCCAAGCGAGCTTTTCGAATCCGTGATGAGATTTCGTCAGACACCAACCCATTAGGGCTGATCAGACTTCCAAGATAAGTGAAGCGGTCGACACGCTCAATTACTTCACTCCCTATCATTAGTTCAGGTGTTGATGCAAGCCAGTCCTGAAGCAACAACTTGCATTTAGAGGGAGAGAAGCGCATTCCAAACATTCTGGCATTGTTGCTTAGTGCTACCAAAAGACTCTGCATTTTGTCAGCGTCTTCACTAAACAGGACTAAATCATCTGCGTATTCTAAGTCGATAAGTGGACCTCCTGGAAGGAGATCAATACCCGAGAATTCAGTCGACGAGAAAGTTATTTCCATCAGTAGGTCTATGATGAAGTTAAACAAAAATGGGGACAGTGGACAGCCTTGACGGACATCACTTGAGGTTGCAAAAGCAGATGACTGTTCGCCATAAGCTCTGACTCGGCTGGTAGTGTTCGAGTAAAGAGCCTTCACAAGGTTTATGTACTTCTGAGGTACGCCTTTCAATGACAGACACTGCCACAGAATCTCGCGGTCGACCGAGTCAAATGCTGCTTTTGAGTCAAGAAAGACCACAATTGTCGGACGCCGATAAGTATGCCTGTGTTCTAGAACCTGACGAATGGTGAATATGTGGTCGATGCAGCCACGAACAGGTCTGAAGCCAGCTTGGTTCTCTCGTGTTTGCAGTTCACGAGTCTTAGTTAGGCGTCTGATATTTATCGAGGCTAGTATTTTAAATACTATATTAGTTAAACTAATTCCTCTGTGGTTGTCGCAGGATGATTTTAACCCTTTCTTATATATTGGGACGATAAGTGATTGTGACCAGTTATATGGGATAACGTCTAACTCCCAGATTTTAGCTAAAATATTAGTCAACCTAATCGCTAAAATTGAACCACCATCCTTAAAGACCTCTGGAGCCAGTCCATCTGGACCAGCTGCCCTTCTTCGCTTCAGATTAACTATAGCCTTTTGAACTTCAGCAAGAGTTGGGGGACCTACTTCAATGTTCCATTCACACTGCCTGGGAATGGAGGGTAGTTGTAGAGTAGCTGAAGGCCAGCTGAACTGTTCTCTGAAATGTTCCGCCCATCGTTCTAAACGTCTGGACTGAGAGCAGATGAGAGTATCGTCTTTTTCCGATATAATCTCACTTACACTTGACTTATTAATCCCAGTTTCTTTTATTAGTCTGTAAAGCTATCTTGTGTTCCCTATAGTCGCCGCCTTTTCCATCTCTTTTGCTTTCATTGCTAACCACTGCTCACGGTCGTTTCTTAGACGTTTTCTTAACCTAGATCTGATTTGTTGTCGCTCTTCATCATGTTCGGAACCTGATGGGACGGGTTTGCGAGAATCCATAAGTGTGATAGACTTTGAAGAAATCCACTGGTTCTTTGTAACTCTGTAGTTTAAGTCACTAATAGATTTCATTGCTGTTTCCACAGCTGTTTGTTTATCTTTCCAAGCAACATCTGTGTCAGTCTCGTTTTCAGAACTACCTAAGTGTGACCTCAGTTATTCCTGGAACCTACTTTTGGTTTTCTCGTTACTCAAATCAGTTCTAATGGGTCTTTTTAATGTGGCTTTTTTGCGTCCAGTGAGGCGCAAGCAGATGCGTGCCCGTACTATGGCATGGTCGGAGTCCAAGCAGGTACTCCAGAATGAGCGACAATCTTGTACCGACCCTCTCCAACGATGACTGATGGCAATATGGTCTATTTGAGTCCATCGTTGGTTTGGTGTAGGGGGTCTCCATGTTAGACGATGTTTCTTCTTATGCTTAAAATTTTTGTTTACTAAAAATAAGCGATTGTCTGAGCACAGTTGCAGCAGACGATCACCATTATCTGTTCGCTGTGCCGGTATACTAAAATACCCACCTAAATGCCTTTCTGTTTGGTTTAAACTACCTATCTGGGCATTAAAGTCACCTGCTACGAGTACTATGTCTGAACTCTTGTGGAAGTATAAGCAAATAAAAGAATATTCCACTACACAATTAACAGACAGTAGAAAAAATAAGGTAAAATAAAGTACTGTAAATCAGAATTACACAAAACTGCCAACTGTATGTTCTGCAAAATTATGATGAGACAAACTACTCATGACTCATTTAACTGAAATCCGTTTACTCATTTGTCAGGAAGAGTAAATTTATGCTTATAGTTTGGGAGACTTATTAATTGTAGGTAACGACTAAACGAAAAAGCTGAGTGGTTTACAGGATTGTATTAGATGTGAAGATAACTTCTATGACAAATTGTACTTGGGGATCGCACATCCTCAACAATATTGCAAGTGCTATAAATATCCACTGTAGATTGATTTATAAGTAATGTTGTAAGAAAGACGCTCATACTCCATTCATTATAGACAGAAAATATATATAATCAGTTCTTAGCTCTACCATTTATAAATAGTAGATCAAACATGCTTTAAGTAAGTACTTTTCAAAAATAAATAGTCTTAATACGATTGGTATGATATTGGTTGATATAAACTGAAAATCCTTGATTTTGCAATTATAATAATGGAGAAGCTGTTAGGGATGCAGAGGAATATACCAATAATTATCGTGTTAAGTCTAATGGTGTCCTTGGACGTTAAATGAACATTTCCGTTGGTCGATATTCATTTTACCTGTCAAATATTGTACAAATGTTGTTTTCTATTTTATGGTACGATGTGGTCTGGTTGGTTGGTATATAAATAGAGTATGTCTGAAATATAATGATTCATATCTCAGAGGCCGTGACTTGCGTTCTGGACTCAACCGGCTGGGATAGACAGCGGAGCAGGGCCAATCGAAACTCTAGGTCGTCCTTACGTGTTTTACGTGTCACTGATCCGATCGATAAATACGCTGAGCATCTAACCTGCAGTCCACCCGTTACAACAAAGGCAACTTCTGGATCGATAATAAATCTAATGCCAACGATGATCCAAGTTTAAAAACTAATCAAGCAAAAAAAATTTAACCCGTTTGCTAATAATTGAACAAACCAAACGAGACCCATCAACTCAAAGAAGAAGCAGAAAATTATACTTTATGGATAAGCTGTCCTGCACACTGTGAGATTTGTATGATGGTAAATATTAGTCAATTGCTTATGTCTATGATATGAATGCAATTATTTCTTCTGATGAGTTTGTACAGAAATTGTTGAGACGTCAGTTCAAAAAGACCAATGTATTGAACACATGAATAATTGACACAAAAATTGAGAAATAACAGAAACAATGAATGATATATGGAAAGGTCAATGCGTATTAATAATCTGTTTTGTGAGTAAATTAAAAATGAACGGAATTGCAGGAAATAAAAAATAACAAACTAACAGATACCTTCACAATAGGAGAATCGCCTTGTTTCATTAAGTTTTCCACCTGAGTAAGATTATCTAAGCGCTGTTGAGTTGATTCAAACTTTAAATGAAAAAAGAATTATATATTACAAAGTTAGAATGTTGTTGAGTGAAGGAATACTGAATTTATGAAAAAACGTAAAGATGTAAATTATCTGTCCTGAGAATTTGATTTAGGTTGAAATGATCATCGCAGAGGTGAGGATTTTAACATTTGAATAGTGGTGAGGAGTAGAAGCAAGAACGTTTATACCTTCCTATTTGGGACTCGTCAGCTGAGTATATCTGCATTCAGTGTTGAAATGCACACTGAGACTTGAACTCAGTACCTTTCGCTTAAAACACCCAACACGTTACCCACCGATCTAATAGCTCAAACAACTACTAGCTTGTGCAAAAGGTACGGATTTTGTTTGTAAGGGTTTCAGATTTAAACATAAACAACGGGAAAATGCAAATCCTTAAAAATTAAACCCGTACCTTTTGCACACCCCCTAATGCCGTGGCACGGCTGAGAGTGAGGAGAGTCATCTCTCCCTCTCAAAATGTACTCACACAGCCACGTGCATACAGCAAATGTCAGGGAAGTCCTACTCATCGCCGTCTCGAGACGGGGGTGTTGTTTACAAAATCAAGAAAACGAAAAGCGAATGTCCGGCGCTTTAACCGGGTTGGCGGATACAAAGGACCCATCTAGAGAAGTTATAAAACCTTGATTCCAAACCACTGGTGTACATGGGCTCCGGGATCATAAGGAAACAAATGGCGTTTGAACCTATTGTTGTTCACCGGCTACCATGGGACTGCATCTCCTTACGTTGCTCCACCGCCTGGTGAATTAGACCTTTAGGTCAAAGGCTCGGGGTGTGCCCCCCTAAGAAAGCCACCTACTTCGGTTTGGGCACCCGGGCAGTATTCCATCCCTCGCACATATCGAATGATTTATGTGACACACATCTATTCGGGGTCTCCTTGTATCAATGTTTGTGTTTAACTAAATGTCTTTCGCACAAGCTGGTAGCCATATGGACTCAGTAGCTCAGTGTACGTGTTGGACGTTTGAAATGAAAAGTACTGGGTTCGAGTCCCTGTATGAGCACCAACATTGGGATGCAGGCACAACCAACTGCCGAGTCCTTAATCGGAAGAAACGCGCGTCATAGTTTCCACTGAAGCTACTAACCAACTTTACTGAAAGTACTTGTGACTAAATGGTTATATCAAAGCGATTCGCTCAAAATGGCCATATCCCAATATAAATTGACCATTCGCAATACTTAACATCGACAACAAAGAAATACAAACCTTTACGTATGCTGGGATGACGAGGAAAACAAAAATATCTGAGACCAAGTATAGGAACTTCTTATGTATCTGGTCTGCACACGTTTAGAGAGTAATAATTAAAGTTGTCTTTTTTTATTTATTTTTTATTTAGTTTTCTTTTGACACATCATTTATGTCATTTTCATATTCATAAACTGAAAATCAATTAGAAAGTTTCATAATGACAACATATTACTTCCATAAATACTGAAATTTATAAACTGTGATACTTTGAAGCCTTATGTTTTACTCGGACAATTACATGAGTTGTGAATTAGAGTAATAAAGAAATACTTTAAATAACTAATAATCTTTTTATTGAACCAACTAGATAATTAAAGTGAGAATTTCCACGGTATATACAACTGGTAGAAATACAATGGTGGAAGAAGAGGGATTTGTAGTTAACAGTTTACGATATATTTACGAGTTACGAAGTCATGTGAACTGTATGTTTGAAAACCATATGCTAAAAAGGCATTACGGTAGTTGAAATGTCAGTTTTACTAAATAAAATACCCATGTCTTTCACTCTTATTGTACAGGGAACTTTCATTTTACCTTGTGTCCTAAACAAAAATTACCACAAAGAATAAATAAAAATAAATAACGAAACTCATTCAGTGGTAAACGTCCTACACAAAATGTCTTTTTCTTAAGCGAAGTTACGAAATATGTAATCATGGTTTAAAAATTTAATTACTTGTAGTCTTTAGTGGCAATTGCTTTTCAATATATAACTGTAAGTTTTTTTAGAAACCACATGAAAAGTTTCGAGAGAAGAAAATTAATCAAACAAGTATTCTAAAATCTTAATATGTTACTAAGGAAATGAAGTTGTCTAGCTCACTTGTTTTTGTTGACGTTTTCGATGCACATTCAATAAGCGTTCAGTTTGAGCACGTTTGCGATCAGCCAGTGCTTTCAAGTCTTCGGTTGATGGCTAATGTAAGACATTATAACAATTTAAAATAAAATTATGATAACGAATTATATTCATCTTTCTTACACATCAATAATTTGCAAGACAAAATGTGACGTGCTTGGTCAGGTAATTTAAGTAACAAGAGTTGTATGTCTGTTATTTACACTCCAAACGGCAACAACACCTAGTGATAGACACAAAATTGAGACTTTATTACCAGATATGTCATAACATAAGGAACGTGAAACCTAACGCACATAACAGAAGATCGTATCAAAGTCAAGTGGTGAAAAAGTGTTTAAAATTTGGGTTCATACAATGCCGTCATGAAGTATGCATAAACAACACCTTGACGAAGAATAAGTCCCCTTGTTTACCACATACAGTACCAACTATTAACGAAATAAACGTTTTTGATTTCCTTGATGAGAAATATACTTAGTTTTCCGGAGTATGTCAAACGGATAAACACCAAGTTTAAGCATTAAGTGCTTTCCATTACGTCAAGGGCGGCCTACTTGAGCTTCTGGGCTACCTGTTCCTGCCATCTAGATATTTCAACAAGTTATTTATTTTTGTTTGTTTTAATATATCATTATGCTTATTAATTGCATGACCTATTCTGCTGCGTTTCTGAAAAGTGTACAACCTTTCGTTGTCAAAGTTACAAAAAACTCAATAAGAGACAATGTGGTTGCTGGCAATATACAGCGAAAAGAATGCACATTATTCAGATGTTCATTTACTGAACTGCTAACATCTAACTGGCGATCACTCAATATTTATCGCAAGGACCGACCAAGAAGAAAGAAACGGAAACTTGTTGAAATACTTTACGCTGAGAATTCTGTATTGTACCAAAAAAAATATTGAATAAGGCTGATAATAATAATAATAATAATAATAATAATAATAATAATTTATTATTTTGAAAATAAAAACCACCGCATATAGGATCCGAACACCCTAATGGAATTGGAGTCTGCTTGTGTTGGTCGAACTATGTTGCCGACCTATCTGAAACCATTAGAGGAGATTCGAGTCCTATCAAAACTAAAGATTAACGGAAATTCACCCCCATTCTAGCTTTATTTGTACGTTTCAACCTAATTCGTGAAATTTCAAAAATGATACAAAGTGATTGCACCACATCAATTACAGCAATACAGTCCAAAGCAAAACACAAGTTTGTCAAATTATGTAGTTTTCGGAGGCAGCTACAAAAACACTTCCGGAAATCGAAATTAAAGGGAAAAATGCATGTTGACTGAAGGAAAAACTACAAAATACTAGTTTCAACTCTCTATATGGTTTGGATCACTTCATTTCAACTAGTACACCTGATGATCAAGTTATAAACACGAAGCTTTTTCTGAATATAAATATACCTAAACCAAATTATGTGGGTCATCTAAGTTTGACAATAATTAATAGTAAACATATAAGATCTACACCTTAGTAAATGGAAGTTGCACTTTGACAGTATGACTTCGACGAAATTCATCAGACTTCCATTCAACCATTTCTTGTCTATAATTGGAAGCTAGCCAACAGTACGAATGAGCCAATCGCTATAGATGAGACAAATACATGACAAGGATAATGGTTAAGAAATATTAAATAATTGAATAGCTATGTTAAAAAAGCATACCAGTTATGCGAAGACCAGTGAAAACCTACCTGAAGCCTAATGTGCTGAAGTCATATTAAAAAGTAGATAATAAAATAAACCCCTAAGCCATTTTTAATCTAATTATTGTTTTATTCTCTGACCGACGTCCGAATAGGAATAAGTTTACCTGAAACCTATCGCAGTAACAGCTAAATCTCAAAAACACAAAGATCTGGTGGTTAAAAAAAACACGCCTAAAGAGGTTTTCCTAATCAAAATTGCTTGTTGAACCCATCTTCGGACTCCCAGTCACATACAGGGAAAATGGAGACCGTTTACCTGCGATTCTGAACTGGGAAATATTTCTCTGTATTTAGGTTTACTTTTGACATTTCATTTCGATAATAAACAAGTAATACCATAAGGAACTTGGTAATGTGTGAAAAAACTACTGTTACACATTGACATGTTTGACAACTATCACATGGCCTTCAACCCAGAGATCATAGGGGTGAATTTTCTTAGTATAGAATAATTCTTTCATAGTTTTACTATCGAACGGTCTTAACGAACATTTGTCATTACAGCTTGGGTAAGCCTACTGTAATACAGCTAAACCAACACGATAAAGCGCCAACCTAGATCATAAGGGGACCGAATTGGGATAAATTGAGATCTAGCTGTGTAAATTGGGTCCCTCTTTATACGACTTTATGTAGTAAGAAACGAGTTACAAAAGCCAGCACAATAAAAAATGACCAATACTTACTTCAGACAGCTTAAAATACCACATACCTCAGCTAGTCCCGTAGTAATACGTTCTGAATGAGAAGGATATTTTAACTGGAGCAAACGCTGGATCATCCAGCTTGCATGAGCACCTCCTGTGTGGAGACGACGAGCGGCTCGTATCAAAGGTTTAAAAACTAATGGTGTATCTGTATTACGGAATGAGATAATAGGGACGATATGAGTTCTCTGATACCCAAAAGATATAAGCAGACAGTTGGCATTTGGATCTAAATAAATGAAGAAAAGATTATTTATGAATCTCAAGTAATTAACTAGTGATGAGAAACATACATCTGACTAGTGAACACTAGGAAATAACTCCCCAATCCACCAAACAAGTCATCTTGCTAAATATAGGTAAGACTTATAAACGTCTGTCACCTAGCACATACGAATTGCATCAAAAATAATCGGCTGATAACCCGGAAAACTCAGTGTGAGTGCAAAGGCCTTGTTCAACACTAGATCGCTGCGAATGAAAGCCCAGGTGAAATGATCAAGTTTCTACCAAAGGACAAGTATATAGTTCGATTTCGAGGTTCTGAAATGGACACCAAGTGGAAGCACAAAAATATTACAGGCAATTTATTAAAGATATTTGCAAAGAATCGTCTGAGTAACGGACTCATCCAGCTAATAAAACAACTAAATTTGTGGAACAGCACGAACATTATTGGCAAATCCACTTGGTAAAAATTTCGGGTTACAAACTGCTCCAGTGAGTATTAACTGCTACAGAAAATGCGAAAACTTTACAATTGATAGAGTTGATCGTGGGATTAGGTCAAAGGAAACTTGTTCGAACTATGTACGGAAGTACAGAACTTTCGGTCTTGATCCAATATCTAAATCTCGGAAAGATTCTTATAACGAATTGTAGAAAAGAAACGATGGAAAATAGTAATGTCACGAACAAAAAAGATATTGAATTCGCCCAACTAAGGACCACCAAATGATTAATACGATTTCGAAATGAAGGTATAAACTCTCAGCTCTTTTAAACCACTAAATATTAAATGTAAAACAGGAGGAACAGATAAAGTTGCATTCAGTTTACCGGGATTTTCAAAACGTTGAAAGTTATAGTAGGAGGCAAGACAGTCAACGTAGAACATCAGCTTTGGGACGTTGTAGGTTTCAAACAGTAGCTCAGTTAGCTCTGCGTAAATTAAGAAATAAACAATAACTTGCGAGATCTACATACTCCGGGATTGCATAATACTTCATTAATAACAACAGGATTAGTAAGCGGCTCTTGGACATTGAGCTTGTCGAAGACATGACCCATTACCTGTTCTTGCACATCTAAATTAACGACAAGATTGTCCATGAACGGAGACTTCAGGCTATGACGTACAGACTCCAGGTCTTGAATGTCATTCCCAACAAGAACACCCTAAGCGTTTGTTAACAAAATAGAAAGTTACTTTTGACATTCGTGGACGGTATACTACGTTTGGGAAAGTTATATGAGGTTCTTCAAGGTGTGAATAACCGGCACGACATTCATAATTTCCTACGTAGGAAACATACGTTTTATAACAGAATATGGCTATGATACTAACCATTGTCAATAATGATAGGAGTAGTTGTGAAAGTCCCCGAAAATTTGATTTTCTTGGCTGGGACACGATTCAAATGTTCATAGAAAAGGAACGCCATCAAAGTATTTTGGCGTGAGTTAAGCTACTCAAGCTGAAGGTCATATTTTAAAGATTGGTTGCGGTACAAAGACAATGAACTAGATTCAATTCGCAAAATTCCTAAGTTCGTTAACAACAATTAGAGGATTCATAGTCCAATAATAATTGAGTAGGCGTTTGTTTCATTCGATAATGCTCTGTCTTCATATCAACTCTCATAATTCAGATTATTCGAACAGAGCTTTAATTCAGTGTTAAGGTACAACTTAGAGGGTATCATTTAAGGTTAAGAAACGTAAAAACACTAAAAAAACACGTTCAAAACCCGCCTTGTTTATGTTTTGTGGGCTGCAAGTTCACTCCTGCGGGAGATAGCGATGGCGTTTGATGGCTCATCCAGAAGGTATTTACTTCAGTTCCGATGGTATTGAGAGAGAATACTTTTGACGTCTTTTCTTTGATGAATCTTTTTTACTCTCCAATGCTTTGTGATTTACATTCTGTCAAGTATCAAAACAAAAGCTGTCTCCTTATTATCAACAAGTCTACAATAAACCAGAAGTAGACCATAATTTACAACTTCTCACTACAAAATATTCAGTCCTTCATATTCTCTTATATATCACAGGATAGAATAACGCAATTTATCAATCATCATACCCTAAGTAATGGTCGATGGCCTCCTCATCTCTTACAGGTATACGCAGACAATAGAAAAACAACATACAGAGAGTTAATGTGAAACACTATGTTGAAAACATGGATTTTTACCTCAGATGTTAGTGTCTTCTAAGACTTGATCATTCCTAAGCAGCAGCAAAGACGACTACACTAAACTCCCAACACACAGGTATTTTTCCTTTAGATCTGAGTCCAAATGAGTTTCTCCAAGAGTTACAAAAAATGATTAGAGATGCTTATGATGTCCTATCATCGAATTCGTTTCATTAACAAGTTAAAAGAAATAACGATCGCAACTTTTAGCTTTATAACAAGCACTTGTGTTTCACAAAATGAAAAAGTTATCCAATACAAAACGCCTTTAGTGTCACATCTTTCAAATAACAGTTTAGGGTCATTTACTTCGTTAATTCATGCAGATATTGTGCTTCTTGTTTTCGCCTGCTGGATGATCTGCAAAGTCTCACTATATTTCGCTAATCTCGCTCAGCCCTATTGTTCCCTCACACGGCCTCAAAAACAAATATGTACACACTATCGAATAGACTTTTCAATTTCTTAATGAGAATATTTCGTCAGTCTAGCGGATAAAGAGATTTCTAGACTAATACTTATCCCTCTTTGAATACTAGAATCAGAACGGTTTAAGAGTATGCTTTTAGGGTTTTTTTTACATAACACGGCTGCTAAGTGGAGTCTTGGCTCATTTTATTTAAATACTCAAACATTCTGCCACTCATTAAAGGAAAATATGGAACGTAATACTCATATGAAATAAGAAAGTACATAAGTTCTTGTTAGAATATTTTTGTTCTAACATCAGGTTATTGGTTGGGAACAATAAGGATCTGATTCAGACATAAAATCAATGATTGACAAAGCAACAACGGAGTGCCTACAGTTGGATAACATATGCCAACCAATGTCAAAGTCAGAATCTTTAATACTAACATCAAAACAGCTCCACTATACAGAAGTGAAATGTGTAGAACTACCACAAACAAAATTAAAGACGTACAAGTATTTATGGACAACTGTCTACACAAGATACTCAATATCCGTTGATCAGATATCATAATCAACAGCCCAGTATTGCAGAAAACAAGCCAACTTTCAGCTGAAGAGGAAATAAGGAAAAAATGTTGAAAGTGGATAGGATATGCATTATGTATATCATCAGACTGTATCACTAGGCAAGCCCCAACTTAGAATCCTGAAGGGAAACGGAAAAGAGGAAGGCCAAAGAACATAATACACCGAGGATTGGAAGCGGACATAAAGAAGGTGAATAGCAACTGAAAAGAACTGAAAGGGATTGCGCAGGATAGAGTTTGATGGGGAATTCTGCTGAATGGCGTATGCTCCTTCACGAGCGGTACCAGGCGTAGGTCGGCAGGTAAGTAGGTCATTGGTTATCTCTTACTTTTGGATGTTGCATTAGCCCTCTCCTAGAAGCGACTATGCTGTGTGCTTATAATAATGCATTTACCGTCAATTCATTGCGGTTCCTCCAATTAATATTTGTTTGTCTGCATTTCGACTGACCAAACTGAAAAGTGCGATTTTCCGTTATACCCAAATACTATAGGCCGGTTCTAGTTTCTGCTTGCTATCCTAACATCGATTGAACAGCTCGTTACCAACAATAGGTGGAATAAAATCCAGAATATTCGACCCCATCATTCTGTTGGTAGTGGTTGAAAAGCGTTAACACAGTGATCAGTATAATAATAATTTATTCTCAAATGACCGTTTGTTACATGAGGCATGCCAGTCTACAGGCGAGAATATACTGTTACAGAATATACGGTACTCACTGCAGTGGGTTACTAAGTTAGGTTGATATTTTACAGGGTACATTGGTCATAGAATTATGGGGAATAACACTTCTCACATATGGATGTAAATGATGTTATTAAGGCTCGTATTGTCAATATGAGCGTTTGCGCGCTTTATAGAGGTAGAGTTGCAACGTGCAACTAATGGTTGGGAATAAGTCCACTTAAAATTGAGAGCCTCTTAAAACCCCAACCTTATATCCCTCCGTAACATCTGAGGAATCAATGATGGCTCAGGACGAACTTACCCACTCCATATATGTTTTCTGCGGCGTATTTCGAGGGAGGCTGAAAAAAGGGGTAAGAAAAGGGAAGAACTAGAGGCTATTGAAGTTGAGTTACTTGTGATGGAATAGTCACGGTTTATCTACTTAGTCTAATTCTCTTTTATCCATAGGTCGAAAGTCATTACTAAATGTCCAAGGGTAATTTAACTTCTTGAAACAGTCCCATATGCAACAAATATACAATACTTATCTCCGTATTTAGCAATTGCCCTTTTCTAAATGCAACTTCGTCCCCTTTAAATTCTACCTAACAACATGTTCTATGTGGGTGCTAACTTCACTAGTAATATTGTCGACCTACGAGTCGACAATGTGATTATATTTATCATACTTTTGTGGAATAAGGATCTGCTTGTTTGACTTTTATCATCTCATATTGTCTGAATACGACTGTATCAGTAACGGTGTCGAGTGATACTGTAGTGGCATACGACAATTACCACACAATCTACAAAGCTGAACACGAGACTACTCAGAAAATAGATATTCAATATTTAACGCGGAGAAATACCTAACGATGGAGAAGGCGGGAAGAATGAATTGAATGAACTGGAGTTGATCGAATGGCATGGCTCGGCCATGCAGGCATGGTCCTTGTTGAATGTTGTCTTATATCTTTTATTCATATTAAATATATTGTTCTATCTGTGGCCTGAGCTTGTTCTCCACCATGTATTGGTAATTGTTACGATGCAATGAGTTGGTGTGGACGATGATGTAACTTCCACGTAAGATCTTATAGATTAGGCAGTTATATCATGACAAATCTACAATTATAGGATTAGGCCTATTATTAGGGCAGTACTAATATCATAGCAGACCATAATTCTAAAATACTATCGACATCAATCACGAGTGTGTAAAAATAGATTAGTGATCGATCGTTTAAGACTCTTACTACTCCAACGTTTGAATATAGCATATATTATTCTGTTACAATAAGTGATACTAAGGCTCCCTCATTATTTGGTAATCAACTGTTACAGGCATTTTAACCATTTATTGTAACACAACTGTGAACGCCTGGAGTCATTTTGATAATTGGGAATATACAACTCAGTGTGATAACTAGGAAATTCCGAAATAGTGCAATTTACAGTAAGTAGAATTAGATGAGCACAAATGGACGTATGTATGTGGAATTTGTATTCGGCAGGTCATCAAGTATAAAAGAATCGTTAGTCCGTAGAAATATCACATCCGCCACACTTTAAGTTGGAATCCGAATTGTCATTCAATAAAGATCTCAAAATTTATTGATTGTACATGAGAGTGAGGGGCTTTAGAGTCGGGCGTAATTCTCTACACTTCGATTCCGTGGTTGGCAAGTTAACGTACATTTCATTAGGAACGTCTTCAGTGGTCAGTGAGGAAGGCTTTCCTTGAAGCATTCTTAAATTTCCTAAACCAAAGATAGATGGCCCACAATCAGTAATGAGAAATTCACAATTTAGGATTGAAGATTTATCGTCTCTAATTAACACATTACAACACTCAGGAAGATGAAGTTTATGACTATAATACTCGAAATAAAGACTTTGGTAGGCTTGATTATGGCACGAGGTTTAATGACCTAAACTTTGAAAAATGATGGGCTGGACATTACTATTATCAACCACAAAATCATGAAAAGCTCCATTGGATAGATCTGATCGTTTTTGAATATGAAGAGAATTGAGAGAAGTTGCAAATAAGGATAGTATATGATCATTAGAATCAACCGAATTAATTGTATGTGAGTAACAAGGTTTAGTAAAACCTGTAGCAAAGTGCACATTACCTTAACGAACTGATTGGACGTGTCCAATTTTACGTCAGTTAAACATGCCAAAAGACGCATGAATTACGCTAGTGAAATTTACCAAAAGTAAGTCACTTAACAAACCTGTGATCACCTTTGTAACCTGTTTTGCAATTCTTTGTTGAACCGCTTTTCTGATTTTTATGGGAATATGATTCATTGTAAAACAAATGAGAGCTTGAGCAACCCTGAGAGTGTCGCCCATCACGATGAATGAGCAAAGTAATAAAAATTTTCACTGACTAGAAATCAAGCTCATCCACTGTCCCATTGTTAATACATGCTGTTTTTGTACTTTGGGATGAACCTTTTTGTTCCTGAATTAATTTTCCTCCTGAATTCGTAATATTTATACCAGTAACCAACCGTTCACCAAGTCGAGTTTCCAATTGGTCTCCTAAATTGCATATCG